AAAAAGAAAAAGGTAATAGAAAACATTAGAGAATTTTTATATTACGTTTTTCTATTTAACATTCAAGTAACATTCAAAATATTTTAATAATTTGTATATCACCATCTTTGAAAAGTAAACTCAAGACATTAATAGCATTCGGAAAAAACCTTTTAACTCTTGAGATTTTTTTTCTATTGTATTCACAAATCCCTCAGTGAGGTAGCCATTAAAGTACAACTTTTCTATTGTTAAAACATGATACCATCATAAAATGTTGGTCATAAAGCTTCCAGAAGATGGCGTTTTAAATTAATATCATTTTTATATTCGGTAATTTTACTTCCATATACTTTTGCTCCAAGTGTATGATTGAATGGAATGGGTCTGCTCGAAAGTCTTTTGACAATATTTGCGCGCCCTGACAATAAAACGCAAAGTGAAGTCTTGAGCTGCAGCTCCTCCATCTGCCTCCCCTGAATTTTAGTATTTCAGAATTCCTATATTTGTGTGCTTGTGCGGCGGGTCATTTAAATTTCATGCTAAATCAAAAATGCTTGTGTTTATTATTTGTTTTGTGTGCTGTGCCGAGGCCGAGGACTCCGCGGTTTGCTTTTCCTGTTTGTCTTTGAGTTCCAGTTCATTTCGGGCGAGTCCCGTCTGTGTGTGAGCTGATGTCTTTTCCTTTTGTTAGCCAAGAAGGCGCCCTTCTCCATGCTCCTGCCCCTGCCCCTCCCACTCATCGATGGCCGGCGGCATCCTTTGTTGCCTACACAGGATGTCGATTACATTTGTTTACTGCACTCGGCGCACTATAATTTCCCCCTCGTTTAATGAACAGGTGCCCGTGTTGTTGTCGTTGCTGGAAGTGCATCCCCCCATCCCCGGATCAACTGCATTTCCCAAGAGCAGAGGGTACTGGGATCCAGAGATATCGGAGACAAAAATGGCCATCTCCATCGCCGCTCAAATGACATTTAATCTCAAAAGCGCATCACCAGATTTACGCTCAAGACAAGATCAAAGCGTCAACTTAGCATTCAGCAGCCCACCAATCAGATGAACTGCGAAATCCACTCGAGATGTAAGACGATACTTGGACTTCTTCTCTGGATTCCAGATCCCTTCAGTGGCATCTTGAGTGGAGAACTGGAGTAATAACCGTATGATTTGCATTTGAATTATTAAAGAGGGGACAGACTTCCCAATATTGATTCGATTTTTTCAATCTAGTTTAAGTCATGAATAAAAAAGTTAAGCTTTGAGTATTAGTATGTTAAATTGTTGTATTTTAATTGCCGCTTTGCTTGTATTTAAAGGAATTCCATATAGCTTAATATTACATTTCAAGAATACATAGCCACTCCCTTAAAAACAAACAGACTTAAGACGTTTAGACAGATGCAAATGTTCTTAACAAAGTTGCATAAGTGGGATAAGCCATGTTAAGACCCAAGGTCTGGTGACCAGGGTGACCACTCCCGGCTAAAAGATAAATAAGCTATAACAATTTAATGACTAGGACTCGGATAGCCGAGATCGTGGGTGTCGGTGGAATGGGATCCCCAGGCATTACTCAATCAGCAGGCCATAAATGCAAGCTGATTAATGCAGCCGCCACGCCGAAGACAAGTGCAACATTTCCGGTGACAATGATGGGGACTTCATCGATCACTGAGAAAAATGATATCCGGTATAAAGAATAATTCTTATATTTTGAAAAAACATGGCAAGATATTGCAGTAACCATTTTTTGAATAATTTAATACCAATACATTAAAAATAGTTTTACTTTGATTTAGTATTGAAAACCATTCAGAATGAATCTATAATAAAATCTAAAAGCTAAAGTGATCATGTTATAAATACTTATTTATACATATTTTTAAAAATATCATACCATAATCCTATAAAACTATTATACCCCCTGGCTAATTACTTTTCTAATTAAAAATATATTTTTCTGTGCAGATTGGTTCTGGATGTAGACGACGTCATGCAGTCTGCGGATCACGGAGTGGCCATCAAACGGAGGCCACATTCGGGGCCCATGACAATGACAAGTGTCAAAACGCAGGTTGCACTCATTTAAATTGGCATGATTTACGCTTGCCCCTGCCCCAGCCAGCTACCGACTTGCAGCCCATCGCCTGTCATCCGCTGGATGCAACTGTGGCAATATGGCAAATTCCAACAGCACTTAACAAGCCGCAGCCCAAGGAAATGACAAACAGCAGTGCGCAGCAGAGACAAGACGCTGACAGGGCCAAAGGGTTTGGTGTGTGGCATGGTATAGGGGCGGGAGATGGGATATGGTATATGGGACATGGGAGGCGGGAGATCCGATCCGATCCGGATTCCGGAGTGGGCATCGAGTCGCGTCGGGGCAGAGGGTCGCCGTCGCCCCATGTTGTCCATGTTCGTCGCCAAGTCGCCTCCATCCTCGCAGCCATTTGGTGTGCATGCAAAGTGTTGAATAATTTGTTGCGAAATATTTCTAGATACACAATGTCGGCGATTCTCGTGCACCGTACAAATACGTCAGTTGTTAAATTAGGGAATTCTTAAATGCCTTAATATGCCTTTTTCGATTCCTTACTGAAATATTTAAACACTTTTGTTATTTTTCGAAAGCTTTTCGGCTAGTTAAGAGTGTCACAAGCCTAGCTTAAATAAAATTTATTATATTCTGAATATCTATAAAATATAAAGACTTTCATTACTTAACATTTCCAATGGTTCTTGAAAATCTCAGACTTTTTTATAATGTTCGCTATATTTTCAATGTTTTTAGGTGGTCCCAAGGGTGTGACAGGCCTAACTCAACTTAATATCTTTATCTTATATCTATCATAATGTTATTAAATACAAGATTACCTTTTTATCTTAAAGAATTTCAGTGAGGTAATACTGCTCTTTTTTATAGCCGAGTTGCTTTAGTTACATGCAACTCTTGTACATCTTAAAAACAAGATAAACTAACCTGTTCGCACATATTCAAACATAATGTTGCTAAACATTTAAAAATATGAGAGATGGCCCAATTTTCTAGATTTACCGTATATCAATTTTAAAGAACGCGCACTTCAAGGCTACTTTTTAAACAAGGCGTGGAAAAGGGGGCATTTCAATGTGGCTTACTCACAGCGTTCTTTTTTAATTTCTTTGGTGTTCTTTTGTCGGGTGCCCCGTGGCTTCGCTGGATTCCTGCGGAAGAGCTCTGCTCGGAGGCAAGCTTGTTAGTGTGCAACATGCTGTTGCAACGCCGGCGACTGCAGCAGCAACTGCAGCAGCGGCTGCAACTGCGCCTGCAACTGTTGCGTTGCTGCGTAATTAAGTGGGCGACAGTCTGGTAAATGCAAATTTCTTGGCCTTGTCGCACTGCTCGCCGCAGGACATGGCCAAATGCAGATGCTGGCGACCGATATGGCCGATAAGCCATGAGACCATGGCAGCGATGCTGCTGTTAGCGGGTTTCAGCTGCTGTTGCTGTTCCTTGTAGACGGCGATAAGCGCTCGCCTATGATCTATGATCCCGACCTTGGCTGGCAGCTCAGAATGCGCATACGCAATGTTGCACATTCTTAATTAAAATGTCAAAACTGGTTTAATGGCGTTAATGAACGAACAGCGCGCAGTTCGTTAGCCGGGCGAACAGGTCGCTCGAGGTTTGACAATATTGTTTGGTCCCGTCTTGTCTTCCCCGCAAAATACTTGGGATTCCTTTGGCTCAATGTTCATGGCCTGCAGATCGCTTTGCGGCTTTTGATCTGCCGGGCGATCTGGGCTTTGATTTATCGCCAACTGCACTGCGTTTTCGAACAAAAGCGGCCGCCGCCAGCGCCGGAAAATGGAAAGTTTTCCCCGTTGCCTTGACAGTTTGCGTAGCGACTGTTGATTTATAGAAATCAAAGCGCGTTCCGTTGGCCATTGTTGAGTTCGTTATCGTGGCTGGAAAACTGTGAACTAAGCCATGCCAAAAAATTGGTAAGACAACGTTGCGCTTGTTGTTTGATCATGCCCATTGCATAACTGAGTGTCGGCTGAATAATTAATGATTTTGATCGGCGATGCAAAATGATTTGAGTTTAAAGGATAAGCATTCGTGCTGTCTAAGAGCTGTCTTTTACCCAAAAACAACACCCACACTTCATGGTTATGTTGTTTATTTTCATTTAGCCATTGGAAACCATTTAAGGTCTTATAATTATGCTAATAAATTCTTCCTTTATTTGTTTAAATTGTTAACTCAACTGTGAGGAACCAATGCTAAAGCCCGTCCAACTCGTTGCATTCGCTCTTATTCAAAGTAGGCGCCTCTGCAGTAGAGCAACACTCGAAACAATTTTAGTGTGAGAAGTACTCCACACCCAAATAATCATAAAATACAGGAAAGCACCGAATTATCTCCCTCGAAATAGCATAAAATATCAGTAAATTTTCATATTAAATATTATTCCTTTAATATCACTTCCAAAACGATTTTCCCTGTGCACCGAACCCGAAGCTCGACTCTTGGGGGATCCCTTGTCTGCGAAGTTGTGTGATTTATTTGGGCGGCTCGGGTGTTTTTTGCTCTTTGTGCGCTGCGCTTTTTATTATGGCACAATTTTTATTATTTTTATTGGTGCGCACTCGAGTGGTTTTCGCGGCACGAAGTGGAGCTGCAGGAGTTGCAGGCCCATGACGCACCACCCGCACCACTTTTCTGAGGCTGTAAACAGAACTGCACTGGGTATATGTATATATGTGGATATGGATATGGATATGCATATCCAGGCGGGCTCAAACGAATATGCGCATTTATTATTTTACTTGGCTTGCTCGCATTTTGCAGCAACGATCTGTAGACACAATAAATTACCAATTATATTTTCATTTCATATTTCTGTCATTGATTTCGCTTCCAGACTGTGGCTCCATGCCTCAATGAAATGCGAAGGGGATGTGTGCCCCGCCCGGCAACTCAGTCGAAAATTCATATCCAATGTAAGAGACAGTTTGTTTTATCAATCAACAGACCAAATTGTATAACTTTTTTAATTGTTTCGAAAAGTACACAGACAGATTTACACAAAAATGCAGTTCATGTTGGGAGGTTGAAGTCAACAGCCCCTCAGGACATATAGATAACCATGTTGTTGCTCTTCACTTCTTTGTCTTTTCAGTTCCAATGCAAACAATATTGTCTGATATATCATAAAGAAACCTAGACCTGAAAAAAACGTTTATTATAACTAATATGCCATTAATTGCCGGTCCATCTCCTCACATGGGGCAACTAATATGAAAATAATTTCATATGTTTTCGTTCTGTCACTTATGACATTCCAGCCTTTGCAGAGCCTGAAAATCTCGAAAGCAGTGGCTGCCACAATCACTGCGGACATTATCACTATCCACATCCACACCAGACATGCATTTTCCTAAAAAATTTCAAAAATATAGTTATAAATTGTAAACAATAATGGGCGCTTGGATACCAGTAAAGCACCCATCAGAAGACATATTCCAGCAAAAAGTCCAAAGCAGGCTATTCCCAAACTAATTTTATGAAACAAGCCAAAACGGTCGCCTGTAAAAAAAAATTAGCTTTTTAAGATCGTCGATTAAATCTAAAATATTCTCATCAATATTTACGGGTACACATATATGCTATAATTGCGATAGAAAGTATTATTACGCATATGGCCAGAATGCCGCTTTCCCATCGATAAGAAAGCTTATGGCGACAAAAATTGCACATTGTAATTTTGTTTTACTTTTTTTAAACAAAAATAATTTGACATTTTTTGTTACAAAATTGAATGAAAAATCATGCCACTGTTGATTTAAAACATACTTTAACTTACCGAGGGTATAAAAGTTTATTGAGAATAGACTGAAAAACTTTAAAATTAATGTGATACAATATTGTATTCCAACATTCTATATTCTATTACCAACAGATTAAAAACATTCAGAGATTTAGAAGTTATTTGTATCTATTTTTACTATTTAAACTTTTTTTCGTTTTGACAAAAATATATGATAAGCAAGGTGTTTAAAACACAAAATACATAACAAATGGAACTTTTTTTAAACTCAATTAAATAGGAAGCATAATGTATACTATGTACTAAGACTTTTTACCTTAGGCCCAATTAAATTAATTTGTAAAATCAATCAACAACTGCAACAGTCTCCTGTAAGTAATTTGGATTCATTTCCTTCAGTGTTATAATTTTAAACTCAAACTTTAATGAAACTGAGCAGCCGGAAAAGTGCAATCTTAACCGTAAAGCCAAATCATCCCCCGAGTTCAGTTATCTGAAAGAAAAGCGCGAAAATCCCTTTGTTAGACTGTTTTTATTTTCGTCTGCTGCCGGGACCGTCTATATTTATTTCCTTTGCCGCTCTATAAAGCCGCCCGGCTGGCTTTGTGGAAAGCCTGCCGCCACATTAAGCCCCCACTCAGCGATTTCGAAATGGAAATCAAAAGTCGCCGTTAAAGTGTCTAGGAAATTGTGCATGCATTAAATAAATGAAACTCCCTTCATCCCGAAGGGCCGACAGAGTGACCAAGGGTCGGACAAGGAATAACCTCGGGTCCATGTGCAAATTAAAATGGGAATAACAGTCGAAGGAGGGCATTTGGTAGGGAGAGAATGGTGGTCAGGGGTTGAGTTTAAAAAAATGAAAACACACTCCAGCTTGGCATAAACAAGTTTTGAGAAAGGGTAGGCGATGTTGAAGGAAGGAGTTCTTTGAAAAGCAACAAGCTTTAAAAGCAAGAATCTAAAATATTCGACAGGTATATATTTTTTTTAATAACTAACGACACTGAAGTGATAGAATTGAAAAATTGAATTCTTGATAATATCAAATTGAGACCTTTTAAGCATCAAATTGCTCAACTTTGGTCCTTCGAGCCGGATGATCCCATGATCCAGTTGATATATTCAAGCTGGTCGAAAATAAGGGCAAGGCATATAGAAATGCAAACTAATTATTTAGCATACTTCTGACCCCTTCCTCAAGTGCTTTTTAATTGCTGTGGCCAATTATAAAGTTCGGCAGAAAATACGAACTAGTTCCAAAAACTAGAGAAAGCCAAAGGCACGTCAATGAGCACCGCACGTAATTCAATCTGGGGAGCTCAGTTTTTCCGGCCCCTTTGACGAGCTTTGTGTGGGCTTACCTTGCGAGGGCGGGGCAGGGGTTATAATTATATTCTCAAATTTTCATGGTTCCCTAGAATTTGTGTTCTCAGCTCTGTGCCTCTTTTTTTTGCCTTGCATATTTTACCATAATTTGCTGTTCTTGTTTGTCTGCCAGTTGTCCTGGCGTACAAATTGCGAATTGAAAACTTCGAAAACTAACGGCAATTACAGAATTTTCCGAAAACCGAAACCAAAGACGAGTACGAACCCAGGGCCCAAAACTTGGACTATTTGGCTGACTGTGCGTGTAATTATAATTTTCTTTAAGTCGGTTTGCGCAAACTTTTCTTTATGTCAAAGTTTCGCCCCGCCACCTCCCTCCATCTTTGCGACCGCAAATAATTTTGTGGAAAAGTTGCCGCCTTTCCCCTTTTCACTGAACTCTACCGATTTTTCCATGTTGTTGGTAATTATGCTCTTTGTGCGACGCTGGCAAACTTTTGGGTACATCGTCTGAGTGTATTAGTTGTAATGTGCTTCGGTTAGCCCAAGGAAGCGAGCAAGTTGCCAAACTTACGGCAACAATATCAATGAAAAACAAGCATCGAATGGGGGAAAAGGACCCGTCCCCCTGCCGTTTGAATTTCGGTAACTTACCTTTCGGTTCGACCAGATCCTTTGGCTAGACAATGTGTCTTATTAGCGAAGCTCGCCAGCGGCAAACTTTCCGATGATTTTCATTCACTAGAAGTTTGGCATCAAATTTTCAGCTAATCACGTTGGTGATGAATGAAATATAAACTTTCTGAACTGTTTTCCGCCATAATTGTTGGTCCTGCCATTCAGCAAATATTTCCAAAGCCACGAGCCGAATATTGGTAAACAGTTATAGAAGTTCAAGTACCATTTGTTTCGTTATAAAAGGCAAAAATAAATAAAAGCCAAAGACAAGGAAGCACTATTTAAATTAGTTAAATATTCAGGATAAACATTAATTTCTTACCTGTTAGAAATGTCAAAAGCAAAATGTGTCCTATCATCCAAAACAATTTTAAAGATCTCCAGGCCGTTACAAAATTTTTTATCTTAAAAACAAACAGATACATACAGCTAAGTGGTATGGCCAGAATGGCCAGCAGTGCTAAATGAATGTATTCCTAAAAACAAAACTATCATTTAATTAATCACTTAAAATTTATAGTTTATTACCACGTCGGCCATCAGTTTTATCGTAAAGGCAAATCCAACAACCAAAACAATCGGAGCAAGGAAAATAATATCAAATGTGCTGAGGCTAAAAACTGTAATATAATTGCATGGTTGATATGATATGATATATTTGAAGGCGCTTAATCATCTACCATGTCTCAGGACTCCTATTGAAGTGGCCACGCAAACAATACCCACTATAATCAACCAAATATGCGTTTTATCTTTACTGCACATTTTATGGAAATTTATAGATTTTAATACTCTAAGTTGACATTGAATTCCAAAGTAACTCCTTTAATAATTGCCTAAGCTCAAATTCTAACAACTCTCTTCAATATATCCATCAACTATTTTCACCTAATAAATTCCATCCATAATTCCTTTCAACAAATGAAAACTAATTTTAGTTGCCTGGCACTTAACACCAACTCACGACTTGTCCATTTCGCCTAATGACCAGATATATGGCCATACTGAAAATGATGCTGGGGGCTGTGATTTGGCTAACTGCGTCTGCATGATTCTCCCTTTGTGGCGTATGGAATGGCATTTTATTGGATTACTCAATCAAATATGTGCTGGGGGAACTCAGGTTACGAAATAGGTAAATTGGGCGAGATTTCGACAAGCAACCTGCAGGTAAGGGTAATCCGGTCGAACATTCCTCTGACCCGAAATGCAGATTTAACAGGGAAAGTTAGCATTAAATTAAACTTTTTGCACAATGAGAAATGGTACTACACTTAAAACTTAAATGTTCCCATTTGACAAGAAAATTTCAAAAATTGTATTACTTAAATAAATTATACCTCCATTATCTAGAATGGGTATAGATCTTTAGATTATACTTATACTTCAATTAAAACCAATAGATTTGTATAAACGGCTTCCGTGTTAGGATCAAGTAAGGCAGCCTTAGATAAAGACTTTTACAAGATTACCAAGTCTTAAAATATGGTTTTGGTTGTGTATATTTGATACTAAGACCCCTCAGACGGCAACATTCCACCGCTGCCATGCTAATTCGAATGCAAACCCTCGAACATCCTTGAGAGTTATGCAAAGGAGGAGCTGCCGAATGCAAAATGTGTTTTCACTTTTGTTCGTTTATCAAACGGGTGTCGGGCTGACGGGTTGGATGGTTTGCTGGCTGGTTGGCTGGCTGGTTGGCTGGCTGGTTTCTCGATTTTGTTGGCCGGGCGCCATGGTCCGACTCCAACTGCAATATGACCAACGGCAACAAATAGCTGACAGTAACAGCGGCAACGGCGCTGGATACAGCTGAAAAGCAGAAAAGGACCCGGGGCAAATTCACGACTCGCATATTGAAAACAAAAACTGCAGCCTGAGTGGAGTGAAGACAGGCACACGTGATGGGGGATATTGTGCGATTGTGTGATTGTGTTTACGGTGTGGCTACATGGATACATGGATGCATGGATGGATGTTGGGGGGCACGATGTGGAGCGGGTGCAGCTGCCCCAACTCGAAGTTCCAGCCTCTGCCCCCTAACCCGCTGGATCCCTTGAAGTGAAGCCAAGTGAAAATGAAAACAAAGTTTAACAAACCGTGGCTAACGAGCTACATTATTAAAACTTCAAAAATGCATAAATTTTCCAGGAGACGAATGGAGCGGACTGGCGGCATTATAATAATATAATGCATATCCTGGGCAGGCATTTGAAAGTTATTGACACCTTCTCCTCTCCACCTCGCCGGGAAAACTCGTGACGTGATCGCTCTGTGGCTCCTCGGAAAGAAGGTGTTGCAACACAGACCAGGTTCCCCAAAGTTGCACGATCTGGGCAACGGGCACCCAATCCCCATTCCAATCCCAATACCAGCCCAACTGGAACTGCGGATCGAGTTCGCGACTCGGCTGCCAAGTGATTCTGCGCATATTAGTTGGCCATTAGGCGCACACCATTGTCAGCTGTGAACGGCAGTCAAAAGGCGCATTAAAATTCAGACGGTGTTAAATATTACAAGCGCCCCTCGCGAAAAAGGGGGAAAGGTTTCGCGCTGATTTGCAGCTGCCACTCAAGAGGTTTTCCAAGCGGGTGGAGTTGGACATGGACGAGTAGGAGGATCAGGGGATCGCGGAGGAGCTTGTGAAATGTTGTGGCGACGTGATATGTTAATCTCGCAGGCCAAAACGTGGAGCGCTTCGGATGCGGATGTTTGGCAGACAGAAAACCACTTGTCGGGTCAACATGGCTCGGGATGAATAAGTATCACCAAAAATGCATTTACATTAAAAATTTATTTGTAAAGATTAAATATTTTTCACGAATATGGGAAAATCGTCTTAATTTTATTAGTACTTGGAAGGAAAATATTTTAATGGCTACTTTGTATTCTTGTTTTTCATTCCTTATTATTTAAATCTCTATGAACTTAAAGCCATCTTTTCACACAACACAATGCTGAAGTACATTTTAAATGCTCTTCAAACTGAATTTGAAACTTTTATTGGGGTTTCAGTTTTGTTTAGTTAGTTAGTAATAACCAGTTGTGGTCACCAGCAATACAATATGTTACAACAAGGAAATATTTCGTTTTAAAATGGGTATTAGTGTGAGGCGTTCATGTTAATGAAAGTGTCTTTGGCATTTTGGACCACTAAAACGGTGATCTTGGCATCCGGCGTGATAAGCACCTCATGGTATTTGGTACGAACTCTCAAGAAGGTCAAAGTTTGAGCTGGCTCCAATTTGGATAGGAATGCCTGGCATTTCTCCCGCAAGTTGTCGTATAGACAGGCGTACTGCAGGCTCTCCTGACGATCCATGGAGGTTTTTACCGGAACACCTGAGTGATTCATGATCAATATGTCCTCCACGCCAGGCTTTTCCTTTACTTTTCGAAATACTTCCTCCACATAACTTTTAGTGCGTTTTGGCTGCAAGGTTTTGATATAACTTAATGTTGGACAAGGTTTAAAATTTGTAAACTTACATCAACCTCTGCTACCTCCATTTCGATTATATTTTTTGAGAGTTCTACAATATTGACTTGCAGTCATGTGTATAATCTTTTGTATTCGTAGACAAGTAACGACTGGGCTGCTTTATAGATTTGTTTTTAAATCATATATTTTCATATTTCGACATTTTAAATAACCTTTTGATGAAAGTCTATTATTTGAAAGATCGACAGGTTACATTTGCTTTTATTATACAACTGATTTAAGCACATCATTTATCATAAGAGGGTCTGTCTAGACGTGATATTTTTAGTGTGGATAGTATTTGTGGGTATAGTTTTGTTTATATGTCGCAATGCAATGTTTGTGATGCAATGTTCGCTTTTGCCAGCGTGGCATGAGTTATAATTGCCATAAGCTGGCATTAAAATATTTGGTCACTGTTTTTGGTATCCGTGGCCAGGACAAACAGTAATAAATTCCACGGGTATCATCCCTGTGACGTCATAATCACGGGCATTAGATGATTTAGCCCGATGTCGAGCAGGGCCAAATTAGGCGGGAGTTATTTGCCAAAGACGGCTCTAACTCTGCGGCCAACTCTAATCGGCTCCTAACTCAGCTGCCAAGCATCGCGGACGTGGACGGCCCACTTTCGAGGTGCGCTCCCAGAGCATAAAGTGCAATTATAGCGGTGCAGCGAGGAACAGGGCCATGAAATACCAACACCCGACAGCTGTAAACAACAATTTGCCGGGCGGCCATAACCGCATCTCGCATCGGAGACCAAATGCCAATAACTCGCCGAGCGAGCGCGCTTATAAAAAAGTTATTTAAAAGCCCGGCCAGCCAACTCGGCTGGAGTCCCAACAGCCAACAGCCAACAGTCAAGAGCCAAAGCCAAGCCAATCCAATCCAACAATGGCAAATGATGATGAGACGTCCAGTCGTTTCAGGTTAAACGCTAAGCGTTTCGGCAGACGCGCAAAAACTTAGACGTGGCCAAGGAGTCGAGGATGGAAACTTGAATGAAAATACCCCGAACCAAACTGAACCAAAACCGAGCAGGAGAATCGAACGTAATGAGCAAATTTATGGTCAATTGATAATTTAGAGGCATTCGGTATCATCAATAATGGACCATTCGGATGCGACTCTGGATCGAAGATGAGGCATTGTTATTGGGACCAATGTGGCGCAAATTGTGCTAAATGTTTCGGCAGACCCTACGCAATTCCTTGGCCAAAAGGCACGCACATGAAATATATTTATGTGGGCAACATAAGGCGACCGTGGGCCGTATTTTATATAATTCGACTGTCAACCGGGGAATTGGGTCAGAGGTTCGGCTTTTTGGAGTTGGGATTCTGTGGCCCCGCCGCTTTTGTTTTCTAGGCCTGTTCTTGCCTCGCAATTTAACTCGCTAATTGAACGCTTTGTCTGACACATCGAATAAATCACACAATTTCCAGCTTGCACCTTGCAAGCCAGTCCACCACCAACTGCACGTCGCCATGTTTATGCCAATAATATGCCATAAAGTATAGAAAGGAGCCGGCACAATGGAGCGCAGTGCACATGGGGTCCAAAAACGGCTGGCTGCCGAGGAGCGGCTTCCTCTGATAAACTTTATGACATCGGAGGGAAGTGGAAGTGGAAGTGCAGCCACTTTGTCAGCGGCCATCCTTGTGCCCCGATCTCTGGTCCTCCGAGCCCGATTCCCGGGCCCTTTTCCCCCCACCGAGTACGGCGCTAAAGTTTAAGCATTGCCCGAACTTTACGCACAACTTGCACACATAATTTACGTCCCATCCCCTGCTCCTCTGCGTAATTATTGGCCAGGAGCCGGGGGTTTCTCCAGTCGGAGGAGCCGGGCATGGGTTATATGTGAGTGCATTAGGGGCGACCACAAATTGTTTGGTTTGCTTTGGTTTAGCGCAAATTGTAGTCATAACTTCTTCCCGGGCTGCCGTCAGTCGGACAATCGGGCTTATGATGGCTCAAATGCACCTCGTTTGGCTGACGGAATTTAGGAAAGGTTAACTGCTCCTGAACTCCCCTCTATTACGACGTCACTTACTGGGGTTCAGGCAATAAGGCTCTATTAAGAAGTTGCACAAACATGGGTTAGTGGCTTTCGCTATGAGGTAGTGAGGTTAATTATTGTTTAGGGCTGATAGTTTTCGAAAATATCATTTACGACTGTGTTTTTCTTATGTTTAAAACTTAATAAACAAAATTTCTAAAATCATTTATCAATATTTTTTGATGAACATACTAACCTAGAATCCGCTTGCGTGTAGTTGCGGTTCATAAATGGTTTAAAACCAACAATTTTGCCACTTTATGGCTTTTTTCTTCTGAGTCCCTATGTGGGGGAATATTTTCAGGCCAAAAGGATTTCAGAGCATTCATAGAGGTAAACAAATAAAAGTCTCATATGTTACACAGTGTTATTCAATTGCACTTTGGCTGCACTTGGCCAACAATATTACCACCTGAGCCAAACGTAAGCCGTAACCGTAAGCAGATTGGCCCATTAAGATGACCTCTTTGGTGGACGGAACCGTTTGTGCCGGCAACTGCCGCAAATCCCACATCAATCAAATTGTCCGTTGCCCCAAACAACAGCTACATATCAACAACTAATGTATCAACAAAGGCTTTGTGTGTGTACTGCGGGGCACTAGAGGCAAATTAAACCCGACTTAAGTAACCGCTAAGCACCATGGCGCAAATGCAAATTATATTGCCCATTAATCGGCCAAGTCCATCGAAGTCGGGCCCGGAATTCCGGACCTTAAGAGGGAATCTGTGGTCACTATCCATTGTAATAATAAATATTAATTATTTTTTTATAGGGGGGGATAGAAATCGCATGGACTTGGATATTACATAAAGAGGTGTCTTAAAGTAAGCAGTAAAAAATAGTGTTGTCATTTGTAATAAATTCATGGTACTTTTGACTGAAACTATATGTTGCAAATTTAAGAGTGATTTCTTAAACCACCCCTTTTTTAGTGACTATACACAGCGAGAATTCTGACGTTCTCATCTGAGTTGAAAATGTTCTTAAAAATAGAACGATATTTTTGAAGTTGAAAATATTTTCAATGTGCTTGAATCAAGCTGAATTGGTGGTATTTACTTTGTATATCTAAAAAACTAAACTATTAGTCCAGTTAGTAGTGTATACTTATTAAAAAGTTGTTAAATAAACTCAATTTAACTTTTCTCTTCTTATCATTTCGTTCTAATACTCGGAACATTGATACCATAATGTACTTACACTGTTTTTAAAAACGAATGATCTCAATTCAAGAACAGTGTATATTTGTCTCTGTGTATGGTTTTTGTTTCGACTTATGAGTGTCGCTTTTCCCATTAAAAAGGCTCTCTGGTAAAAACTGTTTTATATTGGAATGACAGTTCTTGGGCTGCCAACCAATGTTCCCCAGTTTACTGGGCCTGCAATTGGCTTGCATGCAGCACATAATATACTGCCACGCCTCCCCGGCACTCACACATGCTGAAAAGGACACCTGAGCCCTGGCCCAGGACTATAAGTTGTTGGAGAACAGAGAGCGGGACTGGGACTGGGCCTGGACAAACTTCCGAGCCAGCAGGATGTGTCCTTCGTTTTCTGCATTGATTTTGCATTTCCAAGGAAGTAGCGCGGAAACTTGTTAGTCCGCCATCCGCCCAACCGATCCTCCCCGCACCCCTAACCCCTGCCAGCCCCACATAATTTGCTTTGCATGCAGTTTGCAACAAGGAAGGGGAGACACGAGCCTGGCCCGGGCTATTACGCTGGCAAATTGCAATATAATTAGTTTTTACATTTCTATATAGTCGGCGAACGTATAATTGTGGAAAATGGCATTTCTAGTTAATTAATGGCCTCCTGGGCTCACCCACTGCCAATGCCAATAGTCCCGTGCCACCCGGAGCTGTGCGAAAACTTTCTGCACCACATTTGTTGCCGCTTCTCGGCGTGTGCAGTCAACAAAAAAAAGAAGTGCAGCTGCCACGCCCCCGCTCGCCCACTGTCAACCTTTGGCAACTTTGCTTGAATTGCTTGAAAAATTTAATTAAAATGCTGGCTGCTCCACTCGTGAAAATATTCGTTCAATGAACACCCCTTCTGGAATCGGTGGGAAATCCTGTCAGGATAGAGGGAGTCCTTGCTGGCCTCCGAAATGCAGTAACAGCCACAAGCTGTTGATTCAATTACCAATACGTTTGATAAAAATTGCACATTCAATGGGCAAAAACTGTTCCCTTTTTTACATATGCAGGGTATATCTTTTGTGCTGCCAATTAAATTATTTCGAATATCAATGCAAGTCAAGGGGACTTGGCATTAAATGTCGCATCAGTGGCAATCTCAAACTGCATTATAACGCAAATGGGTTTATGTTTAACAGTCACTTTGACTACCAACCCATCGCATCTTGTCATCTTTACATTCCCTGTCTCCTTGATATTTACATGAACAAATTATTGTTTTAAACATATTCAGATGTGCAATGCAAACCCCCAGTACTGCTGCGTCTTTATCGGAGTGGTGGCGATTCTTTCAGGATTTATCGAAGGAGGATACAAAGTCTACCAACTAGGTAATTATAATTACCAAAAAAAGTAAGCCACAAAGTAGAAGCATAGTTATAACACCTCGATTTGACTTATAGCCACTCTTAGTTTGAGTTACATGGCCCTGGGAATGGTGGTGGCCTGGGTTCTCATTATCATGGCCGCAGTACTTCTGATTCTAGGTGCTATTAAGGCAAGTAATCGTGAAATAAAGTAAATCATTTCATCACCCCTTCCCCTTTCGTTTTAGAAAATCCGCTTTCTCTTGCTGATCTGGATAATAGTCTCACTGGTTTGCGGAGTTGCTCTGATCATTTTAAAAACTGTAATATATGCCTGCTATTTTTCCTATAATCCTGATATAGCCTATCACATTTTTGGAGCCAGTTACATAATTTTGTTCGTATGTTAGTCAACTTAATATTGAATTTTCAGCAGCACTCTTATGACAACAATATCTTTTACTTTTCAGTATTACTGTTTTTATTCCTGTACTTCCCATATGCGTATAGGCGTCAACTGGAAGATGAACTATACGAATAAATGTGGTTATTAAAGTACCAATAAAACGGTTTTTACACCACTGTTTTTTGAATGCAATTGTATTAGTCTTGAAAAATGTTTACGAAGTTGATTTTCAGTTAAACGAGAAGTTTGGTGTTGTTCTGCTCCTTCAAAAGCTGAAAACCTCCAATGAAAAATATAAAAATATTTTTCGTTACGAACCATTATAAATCCTTATGAGCAAGTCTTTTGTGGTATCAATAAAATATTCTGCGATATCAACAGAAACCAAAGAGACTAGGCATTTCATGTCAAATTATTCAGTAAATAATTGAAAAACAGATCTATTTTTAATGTTACAAGCAGTTATAATCCAATATCTAATAAAATCGATGGTGAATGACATACATTATTACATCGGCTTTCAAATCAGAAATGGAAAAGTCTTAATGAGAAGGTATTAAAATGTGCTGCAATGTGAACCACCAGTATTGTTGTGTCTTTATCGGAGTGTTGGCGATTATTTTAGGACTCCTGGAAATAGGATTCAAGTCCGACGAGTTAGGTAATAATGTAAATAAATCTATAAGAGGTATTGATCCAGGTCTATGGTACTTTTTTGATTCTGAGACTTTGATAATTGGTGAACTAAGAACATTTCGAATTTATTTTTAGCGCATTCGGATTGGGTTGCCAATTCTAACTGGAATATTTTGATGTTGACATGCATTATATCCTGGGTCTTCATGATTTTAGCCGCAGTTGCTCTCATTGTAGGCGCTATAAGGGTAAGTAATGATCTAAAATAGTATATAAAATAAATCGTTAACATGTTCCTTTATTTTTAGAAAGACCGCAAATTATTGCTTACCTGGATATTAGTCGCATTGCTTTTCGGAGTGGGTCTGATTATTATGAAAATAATAATATTTTCATGCTTCCTTTTTAAACATAATGAAGAAAGCCATCAACTTCTTTTTGGCAGTTTAACGATAATTAACATATGTTAGTAACTTAAAATTGTATTTTCAGCAGCATTTTATTGACTATAGGGTCTTTTACATTTCAGTATTGGTATTTTTATTCGTCTACTATCCTTATGCATATATGCGCGAACTGGAGCAAGAGCAATACGAATGAATTCGGTTAAGAGGCTTTAAAAACATTGTTTTCAGGATAAAATTTAAATATGTGTACAAGCTTAAACAATTAAATTTATATAAATTTATACATTTTAAAATTGTGTTCTATATTTTATCATATTTAATCGGTTTTCGTTCTTTAATTCAGACTCTTATTTTAAAAAAATCGGCGGCGAAAAAATGTAACTGCGTTTTAGTTTAAACGTCTTCAGTGAGATAGGCTTCGTAAAGGAAAATCTTTGTCCTTGCGGCTTAACGGCTAACGAGTCTTCGGAATTGATTGGTTGGAGATCCTCTGGCTTGAGTGACTTCTCTTCCTTGGGAGACTCCTTGCAAGAGTGCTCTAAAGTTTTTGAAGTCACGTTGCTCTGGTGCCGCATTATTTCCTGCGAATTCTTGTTGACAGCATAAAGGCGACAACGCTTTAAGCTTTTCAAATCAGGTGACGTTTCCACCGGCTTGGAGACTTGACCTTTGTCAAAAGGTCCAGGTCTTACCATCGATCTTTCTCCAAACTTAAGGACCCGACCGAAAGTGTGTTGCGATTTCTTAGCCAAGAGCAGAGCACTCAAACAGCGGTTGTACGCTGATCTACCGCCAAAGGTCGTGCGTCCCTGGTAAAGATGAGAACTTAGTGCGGAGGTCGATTTCGAGACCCTGGGTGAAGTTTGGTGTAGTCGCTCGGTGGAATCTTTGCTCCTGGCTCCCTCGCCATTTCCCTTCTTTAAGGGATAAAAAGCTTCATTAGACAATCCGGTTTCATTCTTGTCCATTGCGATGAACGCTTCGATGATATACTAAAATCGGAATTTTCTGAGTTTCAACTCGTCAATAAAATACAGTTTTGGTTGTGTCAAAAAACTTGAAACTTTTAACTTAAAAGGCAACTTTACCAAAGCAAATCCAAAGCATTGGGCGTTACCAAATTAAACGCTTTCTTCACACTTCTTAATAAGTCGTTGACCTTTTTTTACCCAGCCTTTTTTTTGAAAGCTGAAAAGACATATATCAAATAATAATATTTTTAATGTTTCTAATGCCCAACACAATATCATGGATAAAATGGAAATCAAATTAACTTGGACCTACAATTCAAAAAATTCTGAAAATAAACATAAATTTTAATGTAAATATATTTAAAGGCAATAGAATAGCAATCTAGAACGGTTCTGACCTTTCTGCAAAGGAGTAATATGACCAACTAAACAGCAACTTTAACTATGCATACAGGAGTCCCTGTCGGAGATCCAGCGAATGTCTTAACAGTCCACGTTACATTTGTGAACAGATTTACATTTCGGAAAATATTGAAATGTGCCTAAGAAAAAACCAAAGGCCGTTTTGCATTCTATTGGCATTAGTGACGATAATTTGGGGACTTACGGAGATCATATACGGTTCCTTCCTTTTAGGTAAATATGTTTATAAACAGATCAATCAAACACTATCTGAACCTTGATTTTATTTCTAGCCGAGGAAGGTATAAATAATTGGTTGCTGGCGGCAGTCGTGGCCTGGACTCCCATTCTCATTGCCTCGATTTTTCTGATTCTAGGCGCACTAAAAGCAAGTATTTGTTTAGCAAACTAAAATAATTTTCCACCTGAAATCCCATCCTGTTTTTTGTAGAAAATTCCTCGTTTCCTGCTGGTCTGGATAATAGTTTCGTTGGTATGCGGAATAGCTCTGATTATTATAAAGACGGGATTGTTGATATATTTGCATGAATGTCAAGTAATTAACGATATTGTGACAGCCATTTCGAATATCATCTTTTTATGTTAGTCAACCTAAAATACTATTTGCTATATTTATTGAAAGATATATTTATACTTTTCAGTGCTGGTCTATGTTTGGGCATTCTACCCATATGCATACATGCGAGACATGAAAGAACAACTATTGGAATAAACTATTTTGTGTTATATTTATCTGCAAGAGGTTTCCTTTTTGCACTTTTCTAAGGCTACATTTTGCACTGGCAATTAAACGAAAGTTTTAAGTTTAAAAGGATAGTAAACAAACCCTTATAGTATATTTAAAATTTAATACAAAACAAAAAAAAGGAATAAGGGAGATAATTTAGTATATGATAGAACTCCGCATAAAATAAAGTAGATATGTTCTTGATTAGTATCAACAGACGAGGCGCTTCGCTGAAATTTAACATTCATTACTCTCGGAACTTCGATTGCTGCACGATTCCAGTTTTTTATTGAACAAATAGCAGGCAGTGACCGTAGGATCCAAATTTGCATAAAATAACAGTAGCAATAACAATGGGTGACAACAAATCAAAAGCGAATGGTAAACCGACCGCAAATAGAAAGTGAAAATCAAACACAAAACGCTACCGTTTGTTTCTGTGCTTTTCTATCTCGACATTTTCTGGCCGCTTTTCCAGGTCTTTTGTGTTTATTTGTCGGGCGTCTAATTTAAATAAACATTTATTTGTACAAAGGCTTTAATACGTTTGGCAAATGACTTCCTGAATTGTGTGCAGCGAGTGCAGCAGGGTACCACAGCCCAACTGCTGGCAGTTCGGATTGCATAATCGGTGAGACAAATGCAGGGGATTATGAAATCCTTCGCTCACAGGCTGAATATCCAGCTAAAAACACGAGCGGAGACGCCACCGACCTGGCAACAACCTGTCGCATTTTTAAAGCGATTAACGGCACGATTTCAGTCGCTGCCTGCCAGCAGCAGCAACATCACAGCAGCAACATTGCAGCAGCAACTGCAGCACAGCAGCAGCAACACGGTGGCAGGCTTCAGCACAAAAATTGAAATTGAAATGCTTTTGGCAGTGCCAACACTCTTGGCCTGCAGTTGGGCCAAAAAAACTCACTGGGGTCGGGTATTGCCAACTTGGCGATCCCTATCTTATCGAAAGGATCGGGTATAACAACAGATATTAATTGTTAACTTTAAAAATTGGTAAAATTATGCGATTTAAGGAACGAACTAAGAAATTTCAGCTTTAAACTGTTTGAAGGTTTTATATTATTTGACCAATATTATATTCATGTTCATTTTCTCCCTTTGCTAATATGAATTTCTTAACAATTTGATTTAGTAAAATTCATTTTATTTAAATTTATAGACTTTTAGAGTGTATGTAGCATTCAGTGCCTTAGTTAAAGCTCTCCTCTGGGCATTTCCTGTATTTTTTAACTGGGTAATTCGTGTCTATGGCGCTGCAACGAAAACATTTGTAAATACTTACAAAGCATTTCCAGCAATGGAACAAATACAAAATAGGCACCGCGGTCGCGGCTGCAATTGGAAAATTGTGAAAAATAAAATAATATATTGTGCACAACACTTGCATACTTGGGCCTAAGCCATTGTTGCTGCGGCGCTGTGAATTCCCCCACCATGCCATATAGTTCCACAATGAATGACCTATAAATAAAGTTGGCAGCCAAACAACTGGGCCCAGAAATGGCAAACAGCGTGAATTGTGCAATAAAAAAAAAATAATGTGAATATAACAACCGCAAGAGCCAGATTTTCAATTGGTTTGCCATCCCTTTTGCTTTTCCAACGATACTCCCGTTTTTCCGACTGACTCTTGACCTTACCGGTTTTCCAAATGGTTCCATTTTGTAAGTTGCTCTTGAGTGGGCAACTAAACTATGGGGATAGCTAGTAAATAAATATGGATGGTAGGTTTAAGTACCATGAAATTATGGATTCTTTTTTAAGCATAGTTTCGAGTTTGCTTTGATTTTATTTTATCCTTTTGAATGCTAGACAGATAAGCTTACAAGCGAAGAGCTTTTAGATGCTACAGCCTCTTGAGTTCCTCTGATACTGTGTAGAACTCCTACCCTCACATCCTGGAAAAGCTTTTATCAGCTCCGATTACACACTTTAAGCAACAAAATTGTCATTTTAAATGCAGTGGTGGCACAGGGGGCGCCTTCAAGTGGATGGACACCTGAGCGGACGAGTGCTGTGGTTGCCCCACCGCAACATTGTTGCCAGAAAACCACCGTAACCCAAGCCAGGCGGAGGGCTACCCACCCAGGACATCCAGGACAGCCAGGACATCCAGGACATTCAGCCAGCCAGCGAGCGTAAGCTAACTCAACTTAAATAAATTTAATTTAATTACCAGTAAAAACCGCATGAGTAACTTCAGCCCGAGATGAGAGCTGAGCAGAGCAGACTGTCGTTATCCGGCGAACTGAGATGCGATGTTGAGTTGCATGTGGAAATAGAGCACCTGGTGGGGGTCTTTCCCCTGGGTTTATTTAGGAAATAACATTTTTGTGGCAACACATTTTTGGATTTCGTTACGGGGCTCGTGCCAGGATGCTGAGTGCTGCTCACTCTCGGCTGCTCCGTTGAGGTCAACATGCATTTTATCATTTTAAATAGCAAAGTAGCAGCAGCTGGAGAGCACTCGACACTCGGCGATAAATAACCTTAATGTAGTGCCGGGGCCGGGGAAAGGTCGTGGAAAGGTTGGGGATGGGTATGGGTATGGGTGTGGGTCCCCTTTCCTCTCGCTTTGGTTACATGTTTAATTACGAGCTGCACAATCTCAAAGCATACTTTCGGGCGGCGCTGAAAAAAGTGCTCGAGAAAGTGTAGTAGAAAAACGGGCTGCAAACGGGGTGTTCGTGTGTGAGTGAGTGAGCGAGTGTATCCGTGTGACTGTGCAACAACTGTGTGCGGTTGTGTGGGTGTGTATGTGGCAAGGTCAAGTCGTCACTGCTCCCGATTATAATGCAAATTGGCCTCGCAGTGTTTGCACATGTTGGCAAATACTTGAGCGGTGCCACAGCGGTCCTTGAGACACATTACCCACTCACCCACACACCTGCGCAGGCACACCCACACAGGCGCACTGGGCGAAAGTTCCCAGGCGGCCTAATCGGAGGACCTTTGCCTAGTACGTACCGCATCTTAGAAAGTATTTAGCTGGGGACTTGAGCTGAGAGACCTTAAAGCATGGGAAGGAAAATATTTTTTGGACTGGTATTCAACATTTAAAATCAGCAGAATTGCTTGCCACTTTTATAACCTTGATGGTAAGTCAAAATCAATTAAGTTCAACTTAAAATGATATCAAAAAATATACCCTTGTTAAGAGTTTTCCATATTTGTATTGAATCAAAAATTTTAAAAATTGTATTTAAATCTTTCTTAACCATTTTAAGCCATTACTTTTTGTGTGAGCCCTTGGATTAAAACCCTTTAAATCACATACAAGACTATTTGTGGGCCCAGCTTGCTCTTAAATATTTAAGAATAAATGGATGCTTTAAATGCAAACATAAATTCAACTGAAAAGAGCGAGCACTTCTGAGCAGATGAGTGGCAGATCCTTTTGTGTAATCGCCGCTTAAATGCATTTCATAAATCGTTTTACCAGTCCAGCCTTGGGAAAAACCCATTCATCGCCCTCGTGAGCCGTTGCCTGGTAACCTAGTTTAATAAATAAATCGCAGTTTTTTCGTGCCTTAGCCGCCGTCCCGCGATCCAGCCGCGTCCCTCTCCCAGGACTCCTGTGTCTTTTTGTCTTCGGCAAGTCATTCATGTGTGCAATCTGTGGGTGTGACTAATTCAATTACAACGCCCAATTGTGCATGCCTCGTCGCCCCGCCCCCTGTCCTTCGACCACCTACCCCCTCCCCCCCTTTTACACCGTGATTTTTCATTTCGTTTTCACGCTTTCACCGTGCATGTGCAGGTAGTACGTATAGTATATATATGGTATGGCATGGGATCTGTGAACGAGCATTACTTGGGCTTTGGACTGTCGACTACGAATCTCTATCCGTATCCGAACCGAACCACGACCCACTCCCTGTTTTCTGTGCAGCGGGACATTCACGTTTCGTGTCACCCCGGACTTAATTGTTTTTTGTCACACGAGTTATCCTTTTTGGGGCGTATCATGTTCGAAATTGAAATTAACTGACAGAGCAGCGTTGGTTGGGTAATGAACATGATTTGTGCAGTGCGAAATTCTGGTAGGGAGTGGGAGTGGTCGCAGAATCGTTATGCCAGCCAGCCCTGCGAAGGTCTGGGAACCTAAGTAAACAAAAGTGGTTGGGCCTTTGACAGTCACGAAATGGGATTTGTTATACAAACAGTGTCGTAAAAAAATAAAAAAGTAACCCACATGACACAAGGAATATTGGCTATGTCAATCAACTGGAAAACCATTAACTAATAGTGCACAACCGACTACCGAACTGAGTTCGCACTGTACCGGTTAGGGAAAGCCTCCAGCCGAACTATGTATATATAGAAGTATAGAAGAAGCCCGGTGGCAACACCTTCGAAAAGCCCATTTTCCTGGGAGCCGTCGCTGCTGGCACTTCCCCATCATCATCGTCATTATGGGAATGCCTCCTGGTGGGACTATCGGCGGCCCAGCATCTTGATGATCGGAGCAGGAACCAGAGCCATTGCGAAACGTGATTTGTAGGGTCATCATTCAAAAGGCATCGACTACAAGCGCGGCGAGATCCCATCCCATCCCATCTCATCCCATCCGTCGCGGCGAAGGAGCTGCAGGCCGGGCAGGGCCCAAACCAGATCCCCGACGATTCCGAGCAGCAGCCGAAAAGAAAATTAAAATGGTTATACATTCATGTAATTTAACGAAATTCAATTGAATGCCAAGTCACAACAACTGCCCGACCAGGGGCCAAACTAAACTAAAGCGAACTAAACCGAACTCCCAGTGCAGGTCGGATCTGGCTGCACGGAGAGAAAAATATGTCTATTATACTTCGGGTTTTACTAGTTAAATTAAATTATTTACATATATATTTAAATCAAAGCAAGATATTTACTGTATCTTAGTCCTATGAATCGAGTAATAAAAAGGGGACTATGATCTTAAAAATATTTTGATAATAGCATTAGCACTACGTAATTCTATA